AAACGTTCAAAAATGCCGATGAAGGATTTTGGAAGCAGCACAAAACGGTTCATTAATATTACTAATTAAGTATGTTATGTATATGTAAAACAATACATTTAGCCATTTTTTGATGAACAGTTTTTGTTGTGCATTTTACTAGAATGAACCATATAAATTCATGCGTACTTTTGAATTTATGGACGTTACAGCGAAGAAGCCAACCTACGACTGAGCGTTTATTGCGTGAAAACCTGGGTTGCTCACTCGCTAGAACGTTTGGTTCACATTTGAGAGATCCCAGATTCGACCCCCTGTTACGTCATTCCGCTTTCTTCCTTCCGTGGTTGGTAAATGAGTATCACCCCGTGGGAAGTAAGCATGCGTTTACACATCATGCTTGCCGCAGAGCTTCTGTCGATCATGCGCCAAGAACTCCTAGGTGATGTAGTGGAAATAGAGATCAATGCCCTACTATAAACTTCGTGCCAAAAACGACGTTATAAATGATCATATCATGAAAGTGCAAGAAAGGTTGACATTCAAACCGTCATTGAATTTCCTTCCTTTCCTTTTTACATTAATAATCAACGCTTAGGGATAATACAGTACTCCGTAATGACGCGTACTCTGGGATGTACTTGTTGTGATCATTACCTTGAGTCTTTAGTTTGTGATGTCCGCTGAATTCTCAGATTTTCAACGCTTTTGCTATAAGGTAATGGTTTCTGCATTGTAGAAACAGCAGTTCTTCCTCGAACGTAGACCTGCTTCTACCTTTATGACAATTATGCTTATAGTAATTCAGATTTCAATGAAGGCAATTGTTCATCGTTGTTAACGTAAGCAATGCCGTTCTTGCTTCTACCAATGCATAATGTTCTAAACTGTGTGGAAATGTTTTTTTCCATTTTTCGTAAAGTCGAGACTCACACGAAAGTTTCTATATTGAAATGAAGCTGATTTTGGATTTATGTTCGTAAATAAAGGGCCAGGTGTACCTGGTAATCAGGCATTACTTGGTTCAGAGACGAAACCCTGATTGTCGCTGAACTGC